GACTTGCACAGTCAGGAGGTCTGAGAGTGCAGGGGGGTGCTTATGGGGGGTTCAGGAGCGCCCTCGCGGCTACCTTCCTGGCGCTTGAGCGATGGCTGCTGGGTCGGGAGCAGGCATGGTTCTCCTTCCCGCGGTGGATTGGGGCCGGCCTACCTTCCTGGCACTTGAGCAATGGCTTCCCGGCACTTGAGCATGGCTGCTGGGTCGGGAGCAGGAGTGGTTCTCCTTCCCGCGGTGGATCAGGGCCCCTATCACTGTAACTTTTAATACAACTTTGAATCTGGGATTGGGACATCTCCTGCTACAAAGGATAAACTTGAGTCATTTGTACGCAAATGGATATATCTTGAGACTATAATGTTAAATGAAATAAATCAAATATGCAAGTTTAAATATCACATGGTTTATCTTATATGAGAATCCCAAAATATAAATAAAGAGCAAAATAAAGGTTACATAATAGGAAGCATGGAGGTAAATCTTTTTCAAATGGGAAATGATCAAGAGATAGAAGGAGGGAGGAGGAAGGGAGGGAAAGGTGATGAAAAAAGAATTGAGATATGTTATAGACATTATCAGTCCACCACAAAGAATGTTATCATTCTGCACTGCAAATGTATTAATAAAAAACAAATAAAATAAAACTTAGAAATCAGAAAAAAATAATACTGAGTTTTCATATCCACTAATAGGGCACTTTTCCACTTATTTCTCTCTTCCAAATTGATTGGTAGATTTTTAAAATGAGAAATAGCTGTTCGATTCTGTCAAATTTTTTTTACATCTTTTGAGACAAATCATATATTTATTTCTTAATTTGTTCACATGTTGAATTACACTGATTTATGGTATTTTAATCTAGCATTAAGGGAATTAAAAATTGTCTTGTTATGATGTATTTCTATTTTTATATATCACAGAATTTGCTAAAAATGTTGTTAAGAATATTTTTATGCTCAGTAAAACAATCTTTATTTCATTTTAAAGTTAGTTTTTTGTTTTTGTTTTTGTTGTTTGTTTGTTTTGTACCAGGGATGGAACTCAGGACCTTGTGCTTACAAGGCAGGTGGCAGCCCAACTGAGTTAAATCCCCGGCCCTTTAAATTAGTTTTTTCTATTTGTTTGTTTGATTTTGGTACCAGCGATCGAACTCGGGTCCTTGCATTTGCGAGGTGCCAAAAAAACTGAGCTAAATCCCAGGGCCCAAATCAGTTTTTTTGTTTTTTGTTTTTTGTTTTTTTTAGTTTATTGGTACATTCTCGGTATACAGTACAGTTACATTTATTACTGGGATCTTGTACCTTTACATGACAGGTCTTGGTTCTCATTTTTTTCCTTGTCCCTTCCCTCCCTTCACCCCCTCCTCCCCTCCCCATTTACATCAGTCACTTTTCCTATTGCTGAGATACAATGCCCAACACCCACAACTAAAAGGAGAAGAGCTTTATTTTGGCTCACATTTCACTCCAAAGTGTGCTGGCTCCAAGGCAGGGTGACATGATGGAGGACAGTTGCTCCTAGCATGGTAGGCAAGAAGCAGAGCAGGTCCAGAAAGGAGCCTAAAAATGAGATCTATCCTTCTAGGTCATGCCCACAGTGACCCACCTTTTCTGACCAGATCCCACTTCTTAACAATACATTAGCTATAATGCCTCCATAATCCAGTCACTTTCTCAATACATGAGGCTTTGGGGGCTATTTCAAATTTAAAACATACCAAGTGCTCTTTCCATAAATTCAGATACACTTAGAGGCTGGGTGTTAAATTTGTGTTATAATTTGGCCAATAGCATTATGTGGGTTGGTGTTTGGTTTTTGGGAACTTTAGCCCTATGATGAAAGGAGAGAAGATTCTCCTGGACATATTTGGCAGCCCTTAGACTGCTTATACTCACCTGGAGCTTGGAATATGCATCTTTGAGCTCATTATTGTTCTTTATTACTTTCTTGACACACTTAGAAGTCTTTAGATTATTTATATGTGTCTCATTCTTTTCTTTTAGTAGTTTACCCAGACATGCTAAAAGCAACGAGACAGCATCATTACATTTCTAATACTTCCAGAAATGTTCAAAAGTATTGTATATAGAATCACTAAATTTCTTGCATCTCACAGGTGGTGCATTAAGATAATCAAATGTATCTATGTTGGGTATAACTTTAAACAGTTCACATGATGGACTATTAGGACCCTCTATATTATCAGAAGGAGAGATCATAACAATTTTAGGTCTCATCAAATTATAGGGTCAAATCTAGAAATCACTAGAAAAATTATAGAAATTAATCTTTATAATTCTTTTCCTCTAGAACCATGCTCAGTACCCAAAATCTGCATTACTTAGGATTCCCAGGGGGAATAATCTATAGAAAATATGTGTATAATTAGGCAAGGGGATTTATTAGGTAGGCTTATGAGGTCAGAGGGAGGGGAGTCCAGGATGGCTGTCTGTGTGCTGGAGAGGCTCCAGTAGCTGCTCAGCCCAAGAAGATAAAAGCTACATTTTGAAAAAGAGAGATCAAAGTTGTAGCATCAGTCCAAGGTCAAAGGTCTGGAAGCTCATGGAAGAGTTGCTGATAGAACTTTTCTTTGGAAGGCTGAAGAAACTGGAGACCAATGTCCAAAGACAATGGTGAAAATGAAGCTCGTCAGAAATGGGCACGATCTCCTCCTTTTCCTTTTTATTCTGTTCCCTTTTTATAGTTTATTCTTATAAGCTTATTGGTTGGTGCCACCCACATCCTGGGTGGATCTTCTCCCCCTAGTTTGCTGATCTACATGTCAGACATCCAGAGACACACCAAATGCTATTTCACTAATCTCACAGGCTTTTCTCTTTTTAAAAAATTTCTATACTCCCACTTCTATTCCATTTGGTGTTTTTTATTTTTATTTTTATATATTTTCAGTACATAATGATTACATTCATTATGGGGAGTTGGTACATGTACATGAGACATCTTTCTTTTCTCACCCCTTCTCATTCCCTTCCTTATATCTCCCTCCATCTTTCAGTCCCCTTTCCTTTTGCAAAATCATAAGCATTTCTTAATCAATTCAAGTTGGCATTTAATGATTAATGCTCACACACATACAAATACCCATACAAAGAAATATTGCCAGAGAGAATAACTCAGAGAGGCTAAGAATAACATGTCTCTTGGGTAGGAGCATTTGGGGATGGTGAGATGTTCATTACACAGAGTGGGATTTGGACCATTAAAATTCACAAATATATGATGTGCATAGAATCATGAATCATGTATTCATTCATTCTTTATCAAAATGTTGAAACAACAACCCAATTAAAATAATTTCCAAATGCTTGAATTGATATTGGTCCAAAGAAGATACTCTACAAATTGCCAATAAACACATAAGGCTACTCAACATCTTCAGTCATTAGGGAAGTGCAAATCAAAACCACAGTGAAGCACCACTTCACTGATAGAATGGTAATGACTTATAAGAATGACAAAAGTGTAGAAAACTGGAATCCTTGGGTATACAGACAGAATAGCACAAATGCTAACCACTTGAGATGGCATTATTTATGAGCCCACAGTATAAACAATCCAACCCATCAAAAGATGCATGGAAAAAAATGTGAAATATCCAGATGCTAAAATATTATTCAGTAATAAAGTTATAGTGTGGTCAGGGATGTAGCTCAGTGGTGCCACACCTGCCTGGCAAGTACAACGTCCTGAGTTCAATCCCCAGTACTGCCAAAAAAAAAAATGTTTTAATGGGAATGAATCTTGAAAATATTGTTAGGTGAAAGAGGCCAGACAGAAATTTTGTGTGACTCTAATTCTGTTTATATGATATAAGCACAATAGGCAAATGCACGGAGACAGAATGCACACTGGGGGTTGCCAGGGCCTGAAGAGGTAGTGGGGAATGTCACAAGATTTTCTTTTAGAATGATAAGGATATTATAGAACTTGAAATGGGTAGTGGTTGTTTAACAGTGTTTAACATTAGATGCCACTGACTTGTTCATTTTATGTTAATGGTTAATTGTATATATTAATCCCAAATAGTGTTATGTGAATTTTACTTCAATAAACACAGGATCATAGGGGGAACTCCAGGTTCTAGAAGACAACAGCATGCAGGGGCAAAGGGAGAGCTTATGCCTGGACTTGCTGGAGTTTCTGTGGAGAGGCCTGGCAAGACAGGCAAAGAGCTTAGGACTGACTAGTTGAAGAAGACAGAACCAGGTGGTGTTAGGGTATGCTAGAGCTTGGCCCAGAGCCCTGCTACTCTGCAGCTTACCCTCTAGTTGGTGGAACAGAGACTAGATGAACAATGAAGTAAGATCACCTTGGGTTGTAATGAGAACTTGGCACACAGTTAACAGTCAGGAGCTAGAACCAATAGGGAATGCCACCAAAATCAGGTGAACAAAGAAAGCCTGGGTGGAGAAGTCTTGTGATCTGTGCAGAGACAAATCTGAATGAAGCAAAGCCACCTTGGTAAGAGGACCACCGAGGGAGCAGGAGACCAGTGCAAAGTTCTGAGATGGAGCATGCTTGGCACGACCTGCTCCGGAGGTCTGATGACTAGCAGAGCATCCAGAGGATACTCAGGAGGGTGCAGTGGTCAGGGCCAGAGCAGGCAGGGCCAGGAGGACCACGAATGGGAAGGGGAGGACTTTTCACCTCATTCTCATTGAGTGGGAAGGCATTGGAGGATGAAGAGCAAAGAAAGGTACACAGCTCAGGGTTGCCATTTATACAGACAGAAGTGAGGACTCAGTGTCCCTAGAGTTGGTGGCCTTGGCGACCGTGCAGCTGAACCTTCCCACCTAGGGCAGACATTGCTAATCGCCACAGGCCCTGCTCATCCCACATGAGGCTCCCATACCTTCTGCACCCAGAGCCCCAGATATACCCTGCTGATCACCCAGAGCAAAATCTTTCACACTTTGTCAAGACAGGGACCACCCGGGGCTTGTCTAAAAAAGATGTAGTGACACATACAGTATTTGGAGCAGACCTGGTCAGTTATTTATTGGAAGGGGGATGCAGTCTGTAATGCAACAAACCTGGGATCCTAGGAAGATATAGAGCTGAAGTTGTAAGTGGTTTCCTCTGAGCTCATAGCTGCCCTGGAAAAAACCACGGGTATGGCAACTGTGCCAGCGCCAAAAGGCTTGGATGGTACGGACGGCTTTGAGCAATCGACAGTATCGCTGGCGGATGCGCCACATTCGGATGCAGGATTGCAGCTTTACAGTTGCCCAGGTTTGCCGTGCATACGACTCCAGCGCCGCCCGACGCCTCTTCTCCAGCAGCCTCGCCAGCGTCTGCCTCCACCAGCCCTGGATGATCCACACCCTCAACGCCGCATGCAGCAGTGTCCTCCGCACCAGCGTGCCCCGCCACCAGGCCTGGATCTTTATAGCTGCCAATACTCGGTCGGGAGGTGGCTTCTTTTGAGCAGCAGGGGCCATGCAAGGTAAAGAAAGGCCACTCGGGACATATTCTCCAAAACCTCAGGCCGGGAAAGTGTCAGGAAAGTTTCCTCGTTCTCTGTCACTAACTGTCTTTTTCTCTGAAGCTTGAGCACCACAAAGGGCAAGGACTAGGCAGGTATACTGCCTCTGGCTGCTCCTCTCTTTCATATCAGTAAATGGACACACACACACCTCCACTGCTGTGCCTCAGGGTCCCCATTTCTAGACGTGAGCCCTCCTGCTCTTGCTACCTCACCTGGTTTTCCGTGGACCTGGTTAGCCAGTTTATAGCAAGAATCCTGTGATGCATAGGCTCTACCTGGGTCTGACCACCTATCTAGCACTCCTCACCTGCCCTTCAGACCCTCCTACCTGCTGGGGAGTAGCATCCCTTGCTCCCGCTGCCCTCTCTTCCTTGACTCCACCCCCATCCACGTTTTGCTGCTCCTTCTGTTACATCCCAATATTAAAATTTCTCTGCTCCACACGCTATTTCTCATGGCCACTGCTTCTGGCTCCACACCTTAAACCCCTACTTACATGCAATGCATGCACATATGTGTACACACTCGTGCAGAAATCTGGCCTTAGCTTAGCTTCCCTTAGTCTGGCCATGCATTCCCCAAACAGCCCTCAGGACACCACTCCCCAACTTTCAAGGGCCCACTCCTCAGAGTTTCCTCTTCTGCAACCAAGTCTGCCTGCCTCAGTTATCTGCCTTTCTCAGGCTGATAGAGCAACTGGAGAATAAAACAGCAAAGCGTAAGCCAATCCCTACCCATCTAGCTTTGGATAAGGCACCCTCTTCTCCTGGTTGGCTAGCATATTCTTGATTGCTTGTGGTAGTGCTGAGTAATATTTAATAGCATTGCCTTCCACTCGCAAATATATCCTGGTTTGGACAATAAATTCTATAATCGTCTTATGCTACAAGTCTGGGGGACATGGATCAGAGATGTAGTAGGTCAGGGGTCACCTCCAATCCTGGGAGTCTGCTCCCACCTACCTTTGGTTTTGGTTTTGGTTTTCGTTTCGGTTTTGGTTTTGATTTTTCCTTTGCCTTCTCCGTCCACAAAGTGGTTTCATCAACATCTTCAATTATGATTTGGCAAAGACGGCCATCCTTCTGTAACCAAAGTTTAAAAAGAGAAGTGTGGGTAGGTTGTTCATTGTACAGCTAGTTGACAATTCTAATACATACTCAACTTCCTTGATCACCCAGTGTCCCTAGGCATTAACTGTAGAAATTCCTCTTCCCTTGCCTGCAGCTTAGAGGGGACTGGTCCTCTCTTACACAAAACTGAATGCCCATGAGTTCTAGATGGATGGTTCAAATCCCTCAGGTCTGTGATCCCCTAAATTGCCCATGGTTAGGAGCTAGATGTTTCCATCGTGCTCAGGTCTGCACTCCTCCACCTGCAAGTTGGCAAGAAGAGTGAGGGAAGGGAGAGACTGTGATGTCATAAGGGCACCTATGACATAAGAAAATGGATGACTTCTAAAAGTTGGGCCCTTTTAAGTGAAAGTTTTCATCCTTTCTTGCAGAAATGCCCAAAACATGGTTAGAGAGATGAGACACTGGAAATACTAGTTCACTGACAAAAGGATGTATAAAGGTAGTCATTGTGCTCCAGGTGAAAAAACATAATATTGAGACAATTTAAATATGCTCAACAGGGAATTCAATACATGGATTTCAGTTCAATCATACAATGAAACCAAGTAATAATGAGAAGAGTTCATGACAAAAGACCTAACAGTGTAAATAAGGATCAAAATGTATAATTGATAATATGAAATAGGAAGAAAAGGTCTAAAGGAGTAGGGGAAGTGGGAGAGGTAGGGGAAAGGAAAGAAGGGAAAAGAAACTACGAGAAAAGGAAAAAATGAAAACAGCATCTTTGTAAACGGAAGGGTGGAGGGGGAAGGGAGGACAGGGAAATGGGAAAAAAATAAGAACCAAAATACATCATATATAGGTACAAGACCACAATGATGAATGTAACTGTATTGTATACCTAAAATGTACCAATAAAAAAACTTAACAGTTGTTAACAAAAAGAGATTTGTGACTGACTCAGAAACAGAAGAAAAGATTCCCAACATCATCAGTCATGAAGGAACTAAAAATGAGACACCAGTGATAGAACACTAGACATCTTGAAGAATGGCTAAAATAAAAAACACTGCCAACATTAAGTGTTGACAGGAACACACAGCAGCAGTACCTCTCCTATCCTGCGGGGAGAGCAGATCAAACAGTAGACTCACTGTGCAGAGTGGTTTGGCAGTTTCTAATAAACGTGTATCAAACCTGTAACTCTGAGTTTCACCTCTGGGTACTTACGGATGAAAAATAAGAACACTGTCTATGAAATACTTGTGCATCAGTGTTAATAGTAGCTTTACTTTGATTAATCTGTCAATACCGGAAACAACCCAAATGTCACAAACAGATGATAGGCACACAGTCCACTCTTCATATAATGGAATAATACTCAGCAGTAACAGAACACACCAATATAATGATAATATAGATGAGTTTCAAAATTATTATATTGGATCTTATCCAAAAGGCTGAGAAGTGATAGAAATATTATACTAAAGGAAGGAAGCCAGGAATAAAAGAGTACTTGCCAGATGACTCCATGTACATAAAAATGCTGAAACAGGCAAAACTAATCCACAGGTCAATCAAAATACTATTTATGTCTAGGGTAGAGATATAAGGGGTATTGCCTGCAATAGCACAAAACAAGGAGAAATACATTATGTCTTATTTTAGTGGTGGTTACAGCTCATCAACCAAGTGCTTTATGAAACCACAAAGACAGAGTTTGTCTCTCTACTGATGTGGAAGAGTACAAGTGAAAAAGCCAAAGAATAATATGATCAGTATATTTATATGAATGTGTTATGACAACATTATGAAAAAGAGGAGGGGGTTGAGGACTAAGAAGATTCACATAATAAAAACTTAGCAGTGATGATGTTTGATGAGGATCCTGGAACTGGCCCAATATGTTAATTTCCCTCACTGTCTGATGCCTGTGTTTCTGGACTCTCTGCATTCATCAGCCTCCTGGAAGAGCAGCACACACGCAGGCCAGAAAACCCTTAAGACCCCATGTAAGGCTCAAATGTCTTTGCTCTGTCTTTTTCTTCCCTTGAAAGCCTCCAGATGGGTAGGTCAGAAGATGGGTCTAGGGTGATCGCGGCAGAAGCAGGGCCCCATGTCTGCCTGCACCTAGATCCTGGAAAGCCCACTTAGAGCAGGAGAGTCAATTTGAGCAGAAGAGAATCTAGCCAAGACTTGGGCATCAGCCTGAGGTCCTGGTTCCCCTCAGAGAAACTGTCACAGGTGTTACTAAGGAGTACATTTGGATTGTAATCATGTAGGAGTCTGATTGGAGCTGGGAAGGACAGAGGCATTTTCATCCTGGAAGGGCTGTTAGTGTTTAGCTGATGAGATTAGACCTTGTTAGAGTGGAGAGTAGAGGAAGGACTAGGGAGGAATGAATGGGACAGGGTAGGTACAGGAAGCACTTGTTGGACAGTAAGTGTGTTAGACAATCCCCAAACTAGACTTTTTTTTCTCTACAGTTATTTTTCACTCAGAAATTTTTAAGTCTTTGCAATTCATTCAAGAAGAAAAATTTAAAATATTTTGACGAACTTTCCCCTTATCTTTAGCAAAAGATTCATCCCAATCACTTAGCACAGCATTATTAAAAGTGGATATCTGGATATCTCATGCTGAGTGTGGTGGCACATACCTGTAATCCCAGTACTCAGGAGGCTGAGGCAGGTCCATCACTGCATGTTTAAGGCCAGCCTGGGCTACATAGTGAGTTCAAGGGCAGCCTGAACTGCATAAAGAGACCCAGTTTCAAAAGACCCAACCAACCAATCAATAAACAAAAAAGAAATGGGTTTCTCTCAGTGCTGTATCTCCAGGCATTGCTTCATTTTCAACTTTACTTTCCCTTAACCAAATACAGGTGTGTCTATTTAGAGTCAGCAGGAAAAGCATTTTAATAGACCAGTCCTATATTTCACATTTATTTAGATGTTTTATGTCTGCATTATTGCAAAATTGTTTTTATTGTTTCCACGTGTCACTTTTTATCCCTCCCATTTCCCTATCTTTTGTTGCAGTGGTTGAGAATTCTTTGCAAATTTACCATTTGCCTAATTTTAGAAGTTGCCATAGGGAGATAGAATTTGTGGTGATGTTAAGAATACTTGGGAATGGGAAGCAATTGGAGGGAGGGGAGGAAAGGGGGACTTCAAAGGATCCATCTATATATTTTATATATATATATTTTTTTCCCCACAACAAGTGTAACTATTATGTATTATGAACCTATATTAAATTTTTAAAAAACTAAGCAAAATGCTAGTTGCTTAACCAGATTTCAGTTTCCTCACTAATGGAACCATGTTTATTTAGATGGTAGGATGCCCAAATTTGGGAACAGGAGAAAAAAAAGAGACCTTTCATCAGCCTCACTAAGCTAAGGATGGTCATGTGATCCTCACTGGCCAATAAGATGTCAGCAAAAGTCATTGGATGTTCTGGGAAAATTGTAGGAGGCTGTCTCAGGTCAGAGTGGCCTTTTTGCCATTAGCCTCTACCCCTTATTTCCTGAAATGTACACTTAATACCAGGCACTCTGTTAGCTCTTTTCAGAACATAAGAACAAGAGTCGCAAACAAGCATGGGAAAGTAAAATGATAGAAGCCAGGCTCACATTGATGGTAAAAATAATCCTCTAATTTATTTGAGCCTCTGTTGTTTAAATTCCTAGATAGCAACCAAACACGATTCTTAGTTGATATAAAAATTATACCTTATATTTTTCTAATGTACTGCAATATTAATATGTATATATTTTTATGATTTGCTATTAACACATGAAGCAAATTATTGTCTTTCACCTCTTTCTAAATCAGGCAAGAATTTTATTTATTTATTTATTTTATTTTATTTTTTATTTTTTTGGTTTTTTGAGACAGGCTATCACTATGTAGTTGACACTGATCTGGAACTCACTATGTAGCCCAGGCTGGTTTTGAACTCACAGTGATCTTCTTGCCTCAGCCTCCCAAGTGCTGGGATTACAGGCATGCCCCACCAGGCCTGGCTTTATCATCATTATTATTATGCAATCCCAGTTCCTAGCTCATGAAATTCCCGTCTTCTCGGGAAAGAGTATATGTGGGGAATCCTAGCAGACTCCATCACTATTGATATCAGTCATAGGGAAATTCCTCAGTCATCACGGATTTGGAGCCCAGTTACAGGAGCTACTTGTAATATGCAGAATCGCTTTGCTGAAGAGAAGGAACTCACATCTCCCCATATCTGTAGCCCAGGCTGTAACAGACTTATTAAGATTTATTAAGAACAAAACCTATTGAGAACAAGACTTACTGAGAACAGAGCAACAGTTGGAATTCATACTGCCCTAGGAGAGGGGAAACTTCATATCCCCATCTCTAGGGCCCAGTGAACATCTTGTCACACTAACAAGAAAGACTTCAGCCTCACGAAAACAACTAGACTCAGCAGTGCAATTCCAATCACAGTACACTAGCCTATAGGATGTCCTGACCTGTAGGGTATAGGTGGTTCAGCAGAGTGTGGGAGGGGCTCCACCCAAGACCTGAGAAACCAAGTCACTTGCTGTCTGGTACCTCGGGCTTCTCCCCCACTCCCAACTAACTGCTACTGCTGCTGTCAACAAACACACCACTACAGGGCCTGAGGGTGCATATACCTCACTGTTCACACACCACTGCTAAACCTAAGGGTGTGCACTACATGTTCCACTACTGCTGCCAGTGCCCCAGCTATTGATTATAGCTGAAGAAATTGCAGGGAGACCACATCACGGCAACCACATAGAACCAAAGCCAAAGTAACCCACCAAACCAACACAATTAGACACATATTCAGAAGACAGCTTTTTACTACAAAAGCCACCCCGTAAGTGATGGAAAAATGATGTACCAGATGCACAAACATCGTGGTAGGGACACAAGAACCATGAAAAAAGCAAGGTAGTCACAAAGGAATATTGTAACATTTTAGCAACAGACCCAAAGGAAAAAGGATATTCATAAAATGCTTGATAAGGAATTTTAAAAATATTACAAAGAAACTTAACAAGATAGAAAAAAATACAGAGAGACAATTCAATGAATTTAGGAATGAGTAATTCAGCAGAGATAGTTAACATGAAGAAGAAGCAAAGGAACCTATAGAACTGAAAAAACTCAATAAGTAAAAAAAACATACAGTTGAGAGTCTCAATAATAATCCAGATCAAGCAGAAGAAAGAATTCCTGAACTTAAAGACTGATCCTTTTAAATATCCCAGTTAGACATACATTCATAGACAAATATATACATGAAAATAATGAGTG